ATGTATGTATTGACACAAAATGGTGGCAATAAGGCTCTGGCTCACATCCATCCACCTGGGAGGGAACTAACTGCTTCACTACAAGAAAAGAGGGGCCAGGGAGATGGCTCAGTGGAATAAGTGCTTCCCTGGCAAGCATACAGGCCTGAGTTCAATCCCCAGTTCTGCAAAAAAAAAAAAAAAAAACAAAAAACAAGAAAAGAGTATCTTACTTGAGATGTCTAGCGAGACTCAGGGCTCTGACAAAGATACCTTGATTGGGGGGTCATGGGTCCCAAGCTCATCATTCCTCTCCAGTGACAAGACCAAGAGTTTACTATTGATGAATCTGGCTACAGCAAGTACTCCTGTGAGGGTAGGGAAGTGGATGACTTACCGGCTCTTGGTGGACAGAGCAGTCACATTTCCAGTGACACTCGGGCTTATAAATGGGACCAGGTTCCAGTGGTGGCTGCAGATTGGGGCAGACTCATGCCCAGTGTCCTTCTTTGCAACATGTGAAGCAAGCTCCAGGAGGGACTTGGGTGACAGCATTGTTTAGGCTCAGCATTACCTTGTCAAGGTCCTGCTTTGATAGGAGTACAGCCAAAAGCTGGCACTTATATATGGTTAATTTTTTCTCTATCTCTTAAGACCCAGAAAGCCAGGTTAAGTAAGTCTCCCTGGTGGAACTTGAGGGCCGAGATCTTTCTTTTTAAGCTTGGAACAAATATCAAGAGCAGATCAGAATATAAAAGAGAAATTAATAACAATTGTGTCTTCAGGAGAATCTGGGTCTATATTAGTATACTTAGTTGGGAGCAATACACTTAATTATGAAAACTATCTGAGTACTTACCACCTTGAAATATAAAGTGTAAACAGAGGACTGTTGTTTCTTTCTTTTTTTAAAAAATGTAGTTTGTTCTTACAGGCTCTCATTACATAGCTCTGACTCATAGTGATCCTTCTGTTTTCAGCCTCTCCAGTGCTGGGATTAGGAGTGTACCACCATCCCTGGACTCTGGTCAGCTCAGCCTGCCTTAGAGGCAGGGCTGGCATGGCATGTGGTGCCAAGTGTCAGACCATAGTCCCTGTACTTGCCGAAGCTTGCCTAAGTAGGTGCTTTAGTCTGCTGAGCTATCTTGCGGGCTGGAGAACCAACCATGGTTGTTCTAGTAGTTTAATCCCTGTAGAATGTTAACACACAACAGTTATATAATTCTACAGAGATCATTTCACATCAATAGTCATACATAGTAGTATAGTATAACAGTCATGATGAAATCTCTGTTTTAGCTAAGCATCTGTAAATATCACATAAGCATCTCTACATATTATGTAAGTTGTTGTTAGAAAATTATCATTTGACTGATGACCAAATGACTGATGTCATTTGGCTTGACATGAAACTGTTATTACTAAGATATGGAGCATAAGAGAAAGGCATATATTAAAATCTGAAAGAAAATTTACATTGTAGAATATGGTACTTCTGGAAGGCATGAATACATTTAATATCTTTTATGACAAAACCTTATTTAAATTTTTTTCTTTGAAAGACTTTATCTTTTAACCAATGACCAAATTATTGGGGGTGGGTGTCTTTTAAGAGACTATGGAGGGGCCAGGGAGATAGCTCAGTAGAATAAGGCCTGAGTTCAATC